TGGCGGCGGTGGGGCGTCCCGCGTTGTTTGTGGTGGCCGTCGTGCTGTGCTGCGTGTGTGGCTGTGCAGCGACCACTGCTGAGGGCATCGGTGATGAGAAGCAAGTGATTCTTGCCCTGCAAAAGGCGAGGGATAAGGTGGTTGAGGCTAAGGAAGCGGTGAATGAGGTCAAGAGTAAGGTGGATGCTGTAAAGAGTGCAACGAAGCAATTCAAGGCTGCGGCAGAAGAGGCGTCAAAAGCAGCAGCTGAGCTAAATGGCAAAGTGAAGGAGGGGAGTAATATTGAGCAGGTGAATATTGGTGAGGTGATGCGCTTGGTGAAGGGCGCAAAGGACACGACAAATACTTCTTACAAATCCGCTGGTTTTCTCTGGGAGAAAGTGAAGGAGGTAGAGAAAGCAACTGCCGATGCATCGAAGTTGTTCACGGACGCGCAGGGGATGGCTGGCAGTGCCGCGGTCGGCGCGAAAGGAACTCCCAGCAGAGAAGTAGAGCTCGTACTGGCCGCATTCGTAAAACCGTCAGAAGTTTTAACGTCACTTTCACAAACCCGGAGTAGTGCTGAAAACGCACACAAAGCTGCGGCGATGGATTTGAACGTTTTTATTGCAGTTTACAGCGCTGAGGATGCGCTTGCTCTTCTGGAAAAGAACCCAGCCGAAAGCCCGGTACTTGTAACCAAGGAACTAAAGGAAGCTACTTCAAACGCTGCTCTATTTGCGGAGGCTGCAGTGGGGCATGTTGAGGCGGCTTCAACTGCCGCTGACAAGGCGTCTGAACACGCTGAGAAAGCCATCACGAGCGCGGGGTCATGGCTGGAGCAGATCGAAGCTGCGTTGAAGCGTCTTAAAGAACGACCAAAGGGATCGAAGCATACACCTGACGCCTCTCAGCCTCCCCCACTCAAACCTGCTGTGCAAACCAAGGATGCGCTAGACAACCGCGATTTACTGAGGAGTGTTTCCACTGCTATGAAGACTTCTGATAACCAGAAAGCCAACATGAGTCCTGCATCTACGCCTACGAAACATAACCCGGGCTCACCGAAAGCCCGGAGGGAAGTGGGCGATGTTTCAGACACTCCGAAGGAGTTGGCTGACAACACTGAAAGGAGCGAAACCGGCACCCGCGGAAGTGAGGATGACACAACACGCGCCTCCACAGTCAGTGCTCAGGGTCTCAGTGCTGCAGACAGCAGTAAGGAAACTGACGCTGCTGGTAAGAATGCCCCAGAGACAGATGCACACAACACCCTGCAGGATATCCGGAGTATGGACAGCAGCGTCAGTCCTCCGTGGGTGCGTACACCGTTGCTGCTGGTGGCTGGTGTGCTGGGCCTACTGGCTGTCTGCTGAGCTCTGTGTGTGTGCACACGGGGAGGACGCATACACCCTGTGCTTGTGTGTGCTGCCCTGGAGATTGTTTACTAACATGTTTTGATTTACTTTACTTTTAGTTTTATTTCCTTTTCTTTTTGTTTCGCCCGCGCCACCTAATCCCCCTTGGAGGATACTCCCTGTGCTCTGTATCCAACGAGGACGGCGCATCTCTCTCACTGCTGTAATGGGCTTTGCTTGGCACATGATTGTGTGCCGCCCACATGAGCGGGCCTTCTCTGAAGTATTCTTCTAAATGACTCTCTCTTGTGTGTGTGCTTTGTTCGCCCTGGCTCTGGGAGGAATGCGTGGCGGCTGCCCGTTGTTGGGCGTACATCATCCCCCTCTTTGTTTTGGGCTTCGGCTTCTTTTTTCTACGGGTTTGTGTGGAGGGGGGGTAATGCATTTGGTCCCGCAGCAGGATTATTGAGATGCCTGTGAAGAAGTTTCCGCCGCTTGGGGGATGGCTCGTATGGTGAATTCACCCCCGTTGTTTTGGTTTCTTGTTGCCTCTCCGCTGCGCCATCGCAGTGACGGGAGGGAGCACTGACGCCACTTGGGCTTTGCGGTGAGGTGCTTTCCAGAGCTGAGAACTGTTTTAATTCTTGTTTTTGGGGCTCTTCTTTGCGCGCTGCTGTGCGCCGCCCATTAACTGTTTCTCCTGCTGGGTGATTCTTTTTGGATCTCGTGTGTGTTTTGGGCTGCTGCTGCTTGCTGCTGGGGGGTAATCTGTGCGGTGCTGCTCCCCCCGCTGTGTTCCGCATGCTGTCTCTCTTCTTTGACTTTCCAGGCCAGTGGGCTCCAAGCAACACTGATGATGCCGGTGATTTTGCGCCACGTACTGAGCGTTATGGTCATCACGCTGTGCTGCGCATGTGTCTGTGTGGCGGCTGATGCCACGTGGACACCTCAGCGTCTCCTTAATACTGTGAAGGATTCAGCGAACCGAGCTAAAAGAGAGACCGAAGAAGTGAAGCGAACATCCATGTCTGCCGAAAGCTGGGCGGCGCAGGCGAGGAAGGGAGTGAGTAATGCACACAGTACAGTTGTCCTTCTAGGAACGGCTGTGAATAGTGCTCCTAAAAAGGAGAATGTGGACCACGTAAAACGTCTGGCGAGCAGCGCAGTAGGTCTAGTACGCTCTGCGGATTACACTCTGTCCACCGCAAGTTTTCATTCGTCGTTTGCAGTGTCGGCAGTGAAGCGTACACAAACTTGTGTCGAGTCCTTGCAAAGTGCGTGGAGGAAGTTGACAGTGAAGGTTGGGCTGGAAGAATCTGAACTTGTGAAGCAGGCGTCGAAGAAGGTGGAGGACGCCGTGCTGTTGTTAGCAGTGGCTGAAAACCGGTCCGTGGAAGCACTCCTTGCTATTCGTTCGGTGGCAGAGTACACTGGCAAGGCGAGCCCGAGCGTCACAACGGCACAACAACGCGCCCAGAACTTAAAGGTAACCCAAGAACCTAAGATTCTGGATGAGGAGTTACGGAAAGCTGCCAACGAGGCAGAGCAGACGCTGAAGCAGGCGTCGGACGCGGCTGAGATTGCCGTTATCAAGGCTAGTGATGCCTCTACGGAAGAATACAGTGCTTCAAAGGTTGCTGCGTTCATGGATGAATTTCTCGCGAAGGCACTAAGTGCTGTTGAAGAGAAAGTCAAGACCTATCCAACACCACCGGAGGATCGCTCCCCTCCACAGCCGCCACCAGGAGAAACGAAGCAAGAGTCACACGGCAATAATCCCCAGGAGAAACAGCACACCGATGCTCTCACTCCCAGTCAGCTCTCTGGGCAGCAGCCCTCCAGCACCTCTGTAGGTACTGAGTCACTGCCAGACACTTCTAAAAAGGAGTTGAATGAAAACTCTGCGATGACAGTGAGCAGTACCTCCCGAAGTGGCACGGGTACGACGGACATCTCCACTGGCAGCGCGCAGAATCGCTACGCCACAGACAGCAGTGAAGAAGCTGACGTTTCTGGTACGAATACCCCTGACATCAATCGACCTGCAGTTGATATTACGGCCCCCGACACAAACCAGTCTCCATCAGTACCATCGGAGGAGAAGACAGCCGCAGAATCCCTGGAGAACGCTGCTTCTCAAGCTGCTGATGCGCCACTGACACCTCCCAAGAGCAATGCAAACAACGTACTGCGGGATATTTTAACTGGAGACAGCAGCGTCAGTCCTTCGTGGGTGCGTACACCGTTGTTGCTGGTGGTGATTGGTGTGCTGGGC